AGTAGCTCTATGCAAGCAGCCCGCATCCCACCCATTGTTTGACAACCCATGGATAATTGATATGACTATTCCACAATAGTGTTTTAAAAGTGCAAGGCGCAAGGCGAGGTGTGTGACTTTTTGAAGGCGCAAAAATACAAAGAAAAAAGCTAAAAAATAAAAATGCCAAAAAATTCAAAAAGATGCAAAAAATAAAAAAAAATATATTAAATATAATATTAATAAGAAATATAAACTTGAATTTAAAAATTAATGGTTTAAAAAACCATTATCTAAAATTAAAATACATAAACATAACATGTAAAGCATATTCAAGTGAAAATTTAAAAATAAAATCAAACATATAAAATATTTCCAAGCATGTAAAGCCCATCAACTATACCACCTTATCCCATCTAACCAAGTGATCTTTTTTCCCTCCCAGAGCTCCCAAAGGAAATCTCTCATAATCTTTTCAATTCTTTTTACCATTGCTTGGGGCATCCTAAAACTGACATGAAGTACACTGGGAGATTTGCTAGAGTGAACTTGATCATAGTTATTCTCCCTCCCATCGAAATATAATTCCTTTTCCAGGCTAGCCTTCTCTCGAACATCACTACTGGGGTCCAAAAACTACCTGATCTAGGGTTGCCACCAAGGGGTAATCCTACGTAACACAAAGGCCAATTCCCTTTCTCACAACTCAACAAGTCTACCATTGCTCTTAGATCACCATCCTCCAAGTTGATACCAGCCAATAAACTTTTAAACCAATTGATTTTCAAATTGGAAATCCTCTCAAAGAATTTCACTACCAGCTTCAGATTTTCTACCCCTTCTCTGCCTTCCCCATCACAAAACACCAAGATCTGCAAACTGCAAGTGTGAGACCAAAACTCTATCCCTTCCTATTACCCAACCCTTAAACAGTTGCATAAAGTTAGCCTTAGAGATTAGCTTACTTAAAGCCTCAACTATCAATTTATCCAAAAAAAAAAAAAACAAAACAGCTATTTGTGTGAAGAGAAAGGGAGAGAGTGGATCACCATGTCTAAACCTCGAAGCCCCTCAATGAAATCAACTACCGACCCATTAACTATAACAGCGAAGTGGCTTGTTTGCAAACAACCTTTGATCCATTTACCCATAAATCCCCAAATCCATACCCCCTTATGTTAATCAAGAAATCCCAGTCCACTAAATCATAAGCTTTCTCCAAATCCAACTTGATTGCTATTCCCTTCTTCTTCAACTTTTTTTGAGCCCCACACACTCATTTGCAATAAATTCTGATCTATTATTTGTCTGTCCTAGATAAAAGCCCCTTGGAACTAGGTTATAAGAGGGGGGCACCTTTTCAAGTCCTTGAGAAAGTACCTTGGCAATTATCTTATAGATACTAGTCACTAGGCTTACAGGTCTGAAATCCCCTGGCTGAGTGGCATCTTTCTTCTTCTGGATCAAGGCTAAGAAAGTTGAATTCATTCCCTAGCTGATTACTCCCCTACTGTGGAATTCCCTAAAAACTTTAATGAAGTCATCTTTAATTATCTCCCAACAATCTTGATAGAAAGCCATTGTGAATCCATCAGGCTCGGGAGCCTTAGATCTATCCATAGAGAAAACTGCTTCCTTAATTTCAATCTCCTCAAACCTTCTCTCCAAAAACCCCACTTGGTTTTCTTCCAAAAAATCCCACGCAAGCCCAACCAAAGACCACCACTCATTGATTGGCTTGCGATATAATGATCTGAAATGGTTTGCAAAGGCCTTAGCAATTTCACCTTGATCTGTTATTTTAATGCCCCCACCAATAAAGATGAGATTGAGCTCTTCCTTTTTCTACCATTTGCTAATAGCATGGAAAAATTTTGTGTTTCCATCCCCTTCCTTAATCCACCTCTCCCTTGACTCCTGCTTCCAGCTGATCTCTCTCAATAAAGTCATTTCTAGCTCCTTTTTAGAGACCAACTCTTCTCCCTATCAATCTAGTACACCTTGCAACTCCTTCCTATCAATCTCCTCAATTTGTGAAATTAGGCTGGCTTTTTTCTCTTCGAATCTCCAATCTCCTCAATTTTTCTACTAGCTTTCCTCCCCCCTTACTACATTCTTCACTTTTCATGCTTTCCCCTGAAGACTCTAGCTCCTTTCCACAATCTATCTTTGATCCTCCCTCTGATTCTTTCCCAACCTCACTCACATCAACAACAGATAAATCCATGGACCTTTGCACAACGGGAGCAAGACTTGGGCTGTCTGCTATAGCATTAGAGGAGAGGTCAGTAGCAAAACCAAAATCACTAAAGTTATAGGGATTGCCAGAGTTCAAAAGAGGATCTTACTCAATGGGAGGGACTTTTTTAGATTCCTTATTGCCATGAATCGGATCTTGATTGCCAATCAGACCAAAGCTAGTTTTCTCTATTTTATTGTGTTCCATGGCTGCATTAACTTAATCCGACATAGGTATTATGCCCCTTGCTGGAGTTTCCTTTGAAGCTTTATAGTTCCCCTGCCTGTTCACCATCTGACTTTCCATATTTTGCTGCTCAAATGAGAAGGATCTCCTATTTGTTCACCATCTGACTTTATAGTTCCCCTACCCGTTCACCATCTGACTTTCCATATTTTCCATATTTTGCAATTTCCCTACCAAAGACATGTCAACCTAATTGTTGAAGTTCTCTTGAAGAGCTCTTTCCCCCAACCCAATCTGCTTATATACTTTAATGTCAGAGCACTCCTAAATCTGTGTTTCACTAACCTTCTCTCCCTCAAACAAAGCACCAATAAGCATATCCTCCGTCATCCAAGCAAGCCTGGATAGTCCCATCAACACTTCTAAAGCTAGAGCCTAGAATCGTCTTTAGAAAAGCTCTCTTCCTTAGAATTGTCACAGTTGAGCCACCGGCTGTTGTCATTATCATCCCCCTGAACTTCCTTCGATCGAGCATACCTAGGGTTAGGCTTGTCTTGTATTGACTGAGAGTGCTTGACCCATTGTAACTGGGTTGAATTTCCCAAATTTTTACCGTTAGAGCTTGGCAGGGATGATGATACACCCACCTTAGCATCTCCCGTCATCCCCCCCTCTTCACGACCCCATGTGTGAGATTTAAGTTATCAAGTGAGGTCGATTTGGAGCAATATCCAACCACTTGGTCCACCCTGGTTCAATAACCTTCAATCCCGCCTTCTCTCCTTTTAGAGCCTCCTCGTAGAACAACGGTCCACTTCTTCTAAATTCAAAAAGATTTGAAAACCCATTAAAGGGTCTTTCAAGCCTAATAAAATTTTGCCCGACAATCTAATTTCCTTTAAGGGAAAAATGATATTGATGCTTGAGCCTTCCTTGCTTTCTTCTCCATGTGGCTTTCTATTTGCCATGTGAGCATCATCTTCAACCTTTCTCCGTTTCTTCCCAGTGTCGGTTCTACTTCCAATGCTATCCATACCTGCCTCCATCTCCCATAACAAAAGAAAAACTTCAATTAGTCTCGGAATATTCTCTGGCTTGGATGCACCCACCCGCAAGGTAGCCACATGAAGATCAGATACATGCATTTCTTGAAGGGAACCTCCACACAACACTGCAATCTGGAAAAGAATCTCCTCTATCCAAAGATTGAACAAGAGTCGAGTCCCACGATTTTCAGGCTAATAGAATCACACTCTACCTCCATATTCTGTCAACTGAATGAAATCTCCCATATCATTGTTCTTCTTCTCCACAATAATTTTTTTTTGAATACATAGTTCCCCTTTCCATCCAGTCTCTATGATGGCAAATGAAGTGCCATCAATGAACCCTTTGAACCAACTTGTAGCTTCCCTACTTAACACCACCACAAATCTTGTCTTCTCTGATTTTGATCGCCGAACTACCACATGTTTCTTCTAACAGGAATCTCCTCTTTTCCACGGCTAGAAACTTCTTCCACCTATTCACCGGAACAAACTTCTCCTCCATGATCCTTTTCTCCTCTTAAGTTCCTTCTTGCCTTCTTTAGATTTCTCAACCAACTATTCTTTTATCTTCCCAAGCAAATTCAAGCTATTCTTCTCCTGTACATTCTCGTGTACACTTGCCTAGTTTTTTTTGGTTTATTGGATGGCCAAGATTCCTTTTGTCAAATCAATCCTCGATTAGTTTACAGCCAAGAAGATCTCATGGATTGAATCCCCCGTCAGCAATCACTGTATCTATCGTGCTTATGGTCTGTGTCTCTAGACAAGTTTAAGTATCAGCTGTCTGGATTCTATTTCAAGACATTTCGATCTTGCAAGTAGAAACTGTGACTAGGTGATGGAGCACTAAGAAATGAATTACACTTACTGGTTTCCTGGTCCAATCCAACTTCAACTGCTTCACACTACACCAATCACCAGGGGGGCAATTCCGTTGTTTACATTTCCTGAATCAGAAACCGAAGGCCAAATAGAAGATGGCATAAGGAAGTAGATAAGTTATTATTATTTAGGGCATTTTCTCAAAGATACTTTGATTTTTTTTTTATTCATGGAAGAATGGGGGGATGCAGGAAAGGTGAGAAGAGAGAGCTGAGGAAGACGAATAGTGATTTGAAGAGAGATGGAGTGAGAGATTGAACAACAAATGTCTTTTAAATCAAGGGCAATTTGGTCCCAATAAAACTTTTTCCATCCTACTTAGTTTTTGTAATTAGTTTCTAAACATAACTGAATTTGTCCTTTTTTGGTTGAACATAACTGAAATGTTCAATTGACTAAACTTGGTCATTTTTTTATGCAAAAAGCCCTTAATAAAATGTTAGTCTATCTCTCATCTTGTTCATTAATAGAATCCTTGATCCCTGATAAAAGAATCACTTTTTTTTTGTTCTTCTAAAAGAAAATCTAGGGCATCCGTAGCAGTTCTTTGAAATTCTAAAACACTTCTTACTAGCATCTGGAAATGAGAACAAGATAGATTGATAAGGAAACCGTATAGCTTCGGAAACAAAGCAAAAGCTTCAAATCAGGAATAGAATCCTCACCTCTATCACTTCATCATTCGGAGCTGCGCAAGCCGGAAGCTTCCCAGCCGTTAAAACACTAATCTTGACGCCATTTTCCTTCCTAATCCTGTCAATAACCTTTCCTCCTTTCCCCATAACCGCCCCAACCTGATTGGTTGCCGCCAGCAATCTCCAGGATACGGCCCCGCCTGGTGGCGGGAAAACCGCTTGGGTCTCCGCCTCGACTTCCAAGACTCTCTCGAATATCCTAACAAGCGCCTCTTGTGCAGACGAAACTTCGAACTCCACTTCACCCTCTTTATCCCCCTCAGCTAAGCCCTTTAATCTTATCTTCTTCTTGGGACTCTCAGGAGCGACGATATAAATGATACGCTCGTCGCACGCAGGGATAGGCTCTTCGACGCGGATCTTGGCTCCGGTCTCTTTCTGGTACTGCTTGACGATGCTGCCCGATTTCCCGATGACGCCGCCAATGTTGGAGACGTGGCAGAGTAGGCGGAAGGCGACTTGGCCCGGAGAGAGAACAATGGGAGGCAGAGGGGCTCGGCCCCGTTTGGATGCACCGTTGGCGCTGTTGGGATTGTTTTCTGGCATTCCGGTGATGTTGTAGAATGGACGCTTCGCAGGTGGAGAGAGAAATGGTCCCTCCATTCCCTTTAAATATATTTACGATTTTTCTCCCTTTCCTTCCCTCTGCTTCTGCGAACTAGTCGCAGAGGGGGAGGAGGAGCGAGAAAGGAATGGAGAATTCTTCAGTTTGTCCTCGCCTTTGATTCTTTCTCTCCACCACTGCTCACTCTTACTCACAGTCGTGAGCGGTGGTGATCATGTTCGCGACTTGGCGATCCTCCGTCGCCACGGGCCACGGCCATAGTCTAGGTTTTTCACGTCTAATCGATAAAATACGCCTCAGTGCGTAATGCGCTTAACAACGTAACATACAATACGGTACATTCTAGACGTATTCAACACGCTACGATCAGAACCGCATGATCAATGATTCCTTTATCGTCCTGCTGAACTTATCATCATAAAGCATAAGTGAGTTTTGTTTGCATGTTGTATTGATATTTTATACCTTACCGGGAGATGATACACCAATTGGACGGTCTTGATTAATGGACCGGTGATTAATTGTTGACTAATGATGGGGAGGTTACCTCTTCCTCCGCTCGCTCAAGGTTTCGTCAACCTTGGAGGTGGTTTGGTTGTAGATAGAGATGGGGAAACCTTTCTTCCGATGTTGAGGGCAAGGTTTTGGTCGGATAAAAAATTAAGATACATATCCTAATAAATATATTACTAACAATAATTATAAATTTTAAGTAATTATATATAAGTTATTTAAATATAAAAATCCATATTTATAATCATTTAAAAAATGATGAAATAAATAAAATGTGAGAAAAAAAAAACTAAAATATGAATGTGTATACTTCAATTTTCAAATAACCAATATAAATGTTATATATGTATATCAATTCATATTAATATTTATTAGTATATAAATTTTAATAAATAATTCTAGCATTTATTAATAAGGGTTCGACTATGATATGGAAAATATATGATATCTGAAAAACTTCTGACCAATCAATTGGAAATTGGAATCATAAACATGGTAGCCAATTAGGTGTTATTTATCAAAATTCATGGATGGGTTTTGATTGGTCAAAACTCTTCCCATACCATATCTTTTCAACATCATAAATTTTCCCTATTAATAAATATCCATTAAGAAAATTTACTTAAAAATAACAATGCATAATAAACAAATGGGTGTGGCCTATTTGTAAATTATGGTTGTTAAAACCTAGTAACTAAGGTTTGAATTTTGCCATTGTTTAAATTTTGTAGTTATATACTAACAAAACAAAATTAATAGACATGATCATTAATTAACGGAATTAATGAGAGAGTATCATTAATTAGTGGAATTAATAAGAGAATTCAAATTAGGCGCTAAAAATTAAAGTATGAATAATTAACTAATTAATAAAAGAAAGTTAGAATTAAATATAGAAGTAATTAAAGGATTGATGAATGAAGGGCACCTAAAAGAATCAAGTGTATCAGCCAATACAAAGCTGAAACAACCCCATACATACAAAAAGAGAATGGTGGCAAATGGAATATTCTAAGCAATGGTGCCTTTGCAAGTGTTTAGTGGTATTAGGGTTTACATTGTATTTTTGCTTTCAAAAGAGAATGGTAAAAATCATGAATGAGATTATCCAATGAGGGCAAATTTGATATTTTATGATACTTTAATGATGTCTTAAGGATTATTTAGGGGTAATTTCATAAAATTATACATCATCTATTTGGGCCAATGAAGTTTTTGTGAGTTTTTCTAAAGTTAAGGGAGAACTTTGGGGGTGGTGTCAAGTTAATACCTAAAATTTTAAACGTGTCAATAATGCAGTGGCCAAACTTTCAAAAAGTGTCAAGTTAATCAAAAACCATTAATTGACATTAAATATTATGTAAAAGGATAAAAATGCCTTTCACCTCTCGAATAAAAATCAGATATCTCATCTCTAGCTTTAGAAAATGGAGAGAAGGATGTGTCGGTAGGCACGGTTTCTATTGTTGGATATATGACCAAGAAAAGCTCAGGTCGTCGAGATTATTGCCCGGTGAATCCAAAACCGCGATCCAGGTGCACAAAATGGAAATAAGGGTATCTCAGCTCTACTGGGCATTCTTCTCGGCACTGCTGCTCTTATGGCGTCATGTTTTACATCAGAAGTCCAAGATAACTTCAATATAATGTGGTCCGAGGACCACTTCAGGACCTCCCAAGATGGGTACATCTGGTATCTCTCCCTCGGAAAAAAAAAAAAATACAGGTACAGAGAAACCACAGAGTTCAAGAAAATAGAAACATGTCTTTCTTCATTCTTTAACTAGTTACTCACAATCTCCTTTGAAATATTCAGTAATTGAACGATTTTTTTTTTCGAATTGGGTTTCATGATTTAAAACCCAAAGCCGTTGCTCTTTCATGATATAAATCATTCTTCACATTCTTTGAAGTCTCTGATTGTGTTCCGCCATGAAGAGAATAGGTTGCGGGTTCCAGACGAAGTAGAGATGCAAATTTGGGTGGTTCAGCATGAAGCTCAAGTTGGTAGGAGGCAACTCTGTTGGTGACTGGTGTTGTGACGGCATATTACGTAAGTCTATACAGTATAGAGATTATTACTACAAAGTTGATCTGATAACTTCCTCTAAAGTTTCACTTTTTCATTTGCAACGAATTGAACTATTAAAAGGCGAGACTTTATTTGATGGATCAATGTATGCTCTTGTCTTACCTTTAACAGATGTGTTGGGATCCAGGAGCTGGGACTAAGAGGGATGAACTAGATTTCGAGTTCCTGGGGACAAAATTGGGCAGCCCTATATTTCGGCGCCAATGTCGCCTAAACACTACCCATAGAAATAGAACAGTTGATTTATCGGCTCAGGTTTTGGCAATCCTCATTTAAATTACCTTTAATATGTCATTAAATGTTATTTAAGTAAAATAACTTGTTTAAAAAGTATAAATCAAAGATAACAAGTTTTGAATGCAAGTTATTTGGTTACAACAATAATCAATTAATCATTATGTCAATCTTAATTCCTTATTAGAACAACATGTTTTTCTATACTTAAATTAATCTTTCTTGCCTTGGTGGATGTTTCTCAACAAATGCTATAAATTTGATTATTAATATTTATATAATATTAAAATAAATACGAGTTATATTTATTTATTAAAAACTAAGGTATATATTAACTTGTATATATAATAAATATTATCTAAATCTATATATAATATATATTAACTAATAAATGACTTCAAAAAATATTAAGTAATAAATATTAGTATATATACACACACATCTTACTTTTTCTATTATTTTTCAATGGCTACTAACTATATCCCGATACTTTATATAAATCATTAAAGAATGGTTTTTATGTTTAAATAAATTAATTATACTCATATAAAACTCATTATTATTATTATTATTATTTATATTTTTAAGGATTTTTTTTTTATTTTATAGTGTATCAATGCGTATCTTGATTTTTCGTTCATATCTATACGTTTTTAAAGCGTATTTCGATACGTTTCTTAGAATTACCTTTCCGATATACCTTGCGTTTTGGATACTTTAAACCTTGAGTTACACATTTATTCACTGTTCCATTGATGTGGTGCATAATGGCGCCTAGTTGTCAATAAACGATTTATCAAATACTTTTCTCAATTTTGAAGACAAATCAAATACAAACGTTTATGTAATAAATAAAAGATGTACCAAACACATACAAAGATACAATATTGACACGAATATTGCCCTACATTTATTTGATTGGATTGGGAAAAGGCTTGGATACAAACATAATGTCAAGTGTTATTTATCTACCTCGAAAATCCTCATTCGGACTCGATTGAACAACACTAATAATCTACTTGTCAATGATAAGCAAATAACTTATAAGCATTAGCTTGTCTATGAGAACTCCTGTGAATTGGTCAAGGATGTTCTATTAGTGTTGGATGTGGTCAGCCTGAGGAGAATGAATAGGAAAGGCGAGCACAAACTTAAAGCTCACTGTTAAATGCTATAATAATCTGCTTGTGCCATTGGCCAGATTTCTTATAATCAATGTTTTCGAATTGTTGTTGACTCGGACTATCGAATTGGAAACCGTCCAAGTGACTGGTTCCATTTTACCCCAAACCTGGTCCCTGGTAAAAAACCGTTGAATAAGTCAACAAACTGTTGACCTGGATGGTTTGACTGTTGAACCGTTCGACCTAAAGGATGGTTCACGATTTATTACTTTTGACAAGTTAGAACAAGAATGAAAGGAGAAGATCTCTTAAATTTGAGATCCAGTGGAGAGATGTGTGAAATAGTGGGAGAGATTTGAGAGATCTCACGTTTAGAGATTTGGGAGAGTAGTCTAGACGATAGATCTATGAGAGAGTGAGTGAGATATGAGACTGAGAGAAATCTCAGATCCACTTTCATTGCCAGTTTGCCACCATCTCCACCGCTGTTGTTGCTATAGTTCGCCATCGCCGTTGCCACTGTAGCCTACAAGTGACTTCCTCCTCCTCATCCTCTTCTTCTTCTTCTTCTTCTCTAGCTCTCTTCTTTCTCTTCTAAACTCTCTCAGTTGCCGACAACTTCTCAAATTCCTCTCATTCTCAAATGGTCAAACCTTATTTCTCTTATATTTATATGCATCTTACCCTAATATTCCAATCTAATGGGTAAGATGACATACCACCTATTAAAATATTTAAATGTTTGACCCAAACAGTTGAACCAATGACCCAAAAACCCTTGGCTCGTTCGTACTTGCACAGTTCTATATCAATACCTTGTGAACCAGGTAGAACAGAAACATTTGATTTGTTTCAAGAAATGCCAGAGAGAGAGAGAGAGATAAGGGTATTGAGTCCAAAGGATGGGACACCATTGCCCTTGGATTTGATGATTTCCCTATTCAACTATCAAGAAACACAAAAAGGCAAATGAAGTTATTTATACTGCTTTGATTGATAAGTATTGCGAAGTGGAGAAGATTGAATTTGTTCATTCTTTTTGTCATTGCGTGACAATATGCTTACTGACAATTGTTTGCCAAACACATATCAAGAAACACATCAGTTACTCACTGATGTCTTCCTAGAGGGTGGATAAATTGTTTACTCACCCGCCAATAATACTTTTTTTCTCTTGCCTTTCTCTTTACCCAAATAAATTACATTATACCAAGGTTCAAAGTATCAATACGTATCGGCTCATATTGGCCGATATGTATTGTTCCGAGACCCTTCCGGTACGCCCCTATAATGGGTGTATCAGGGGTCTGACCGGTTTAGGGGGTGGAGGAGCCCTAAACCGGCTTTCAGAAAAAAGATAAATAAAAAGTAAAAAAACAGTATTGATTTGCTCGATACACCCCTATCGACGTATCGAACGTATCAATATTTTGAACCTTACATCACACAAAAACACTGGAATCGAATTTATTTAAACAATTTTTACTTGAGAAACACTTGCCCATATAAATTCACAAAAGTGAGTTAAAACGAATGGAGCCTTAGACATGACAACAATAATCCATTTGAAGTGCCAAGAATTAGTTATCTTATAAATTCTTCTCGATTCACTCTTGTAATGTGCCAACTCTTTGACTATGCAGAAAATATAGTTGATAACCCTTCAGTTCTTCCTGCATATGACAAATGAGAAGTTGCTACAGATTGGGGGAAATATCCTGAATTTATAGGTGCCAAATTTTAGAGATGCAAAATGTTCAGTTTGTCCGTTACATTACCTCATGCAAATAAAATAACATCAAGTGCATTTTTGTTATAAGTTTTACATCGTTTTGCGTGTTTGAATGTAGATGAAGGTAAGAAAAAAATATTAATGTAACCAGAATTTGCACTCTTTTTACACTGCAAACAAATAAAAGGACAAAATTGAAATATGTGAGAGATTGGAAATATCAAGTCCATAAAGTAAGCCCATTATTGTAAGTTATCCTGCTGAGTAAACAGAGAACCTTACCGACTCCGGGTGACGAGCCCGTGTTGTATATATATATGAACTGGTTTGCATAAACATGAACTCATTCAAGATGCAACTAGAACCTCGCTGTTGTAGAAGTGTCATTTGTTTGCAGTGCAATTACTCGCCCATCTCTGCTCATGAGATCCTACTACTATTCCCTCCCGAGTTTCTTTCCTTCACGCGTTTTCTCCAAATTTCCCGTTATAGGAATCAAGCCGGCACCAGGTCGCCCCATCCACGCAGTTCAAGGAGAGATAAGTTTCAATCAAACGACTGCTTCAGTTTCACCGAAGAAAATCGGTCGTGTTTTTTACCTTAAAGAGTTTTGTGCATTAATCAGAAACCTCTCCAACAACAATAGAAACCATGAAGCTTTGAGTGCTTTAGATTTGATGCTAACCAAAACCCATTACTTCGATTCTGCCACTTCGGTTCTTGTAATCGACGGTTTGTCTCGATTGCGGATGCTCGGGAGAGCGAAAGCTCTTTTGAAAAATCTGAGGAGTAACGGAAAGGTGTCTGATTATTTTCTGTATAGTTTGGTAATTCATTGCCTTGTTAACGTGGGTAGAATCGAGGATGCTGATTCCTTTTGGAACGAGGTCTGTGGGTCTGATTTGTCATCAGATAGAAGAATTGATTCATCTGAGTTCGTGATATATCTATGTAAATTCGGCAGGGATTTGGAGATCGAGAGGATATGTGATCGGGTTTTGATGGGTGGTGGGGCTCTAAGGTTTCAGAGCTATATTGCTCTGATCGGGGCTCTTTGTAGGGAAAGCAAGGGTCATTTAGCTAAAGCGGTGCTTCAGGAGATGAAGAGAAAGGGTCTCAAACCTGATAACCTTACCTATCTAATAATGTTCCAGTGCTTCTGTAGGAATGGAGAATTAAGTGAAGCCGACTCCATTTTGAGGAAATTGGTTCGGAGGAAGTATGATATGGATATTTGTATATATGGCAGCTTCATTTACGGGCTTTGTAAGTCGAGTAAGTACAGAGAGGCGGATAAATTGTTTAAGAGATTGATAAAAGTGGATGATTCTGGAGTTTCTGGTAATGGGTCCTTGAAACAGGGAAGGAGGGCCATCTTCCAATTGAACTGCAAGGGTGCAGTTCCTGAGATAATGGCTTATGAATATTATTGTAGGTCACTGTGCGACATGGGAAAGCTTGATGAAGCAGAAACTTTGTTGAAAGAGATGATGAGGAAACGAACTGTGCCCGAGGGTTGTGTCTATAGGTCTTTCATTAAGGCTCTCTTTCAGGCTGGCCGAGATGAAGATGCTATTAGATTCTTTAATGCAATGAAGAAGAAAGGATTTGTTCGGCAGGAGGAGATTGCAGGTTTCATAGTCATGGGGCTTTGTGAAATGGATAGAGTTGACGATGCATGGATGATTTTTTATGATATTTTTGTTAAAGGTAGTGTTTTGGTGGAAAGGAGCATTTCCAATTGTCTTATTGGTAGTTACTTGAAAGTGAGAAGACTGGGTGAAGCAGAAAGATTGTTCGAGAGGATGAAGGAGGGAAGTTTTGGAGGGCTTGATGCCTCCACCTACGTGGTCTTTGTCAATGGCCTCTGTGAGCAGGGTGAACTTACAAATGCACTCCTTGTATTTGATGAAATGCTGGAGAAAAAAATCCCAGTCAATGGGACCATTTATGAGGTTATTTTGAGGGGATTATGCACATGTGGAAGGATTGAGGAAGCACATATGTACCTGAATAAAATGATTGAAAATGGGCATTTGGTTTCATATTCTAGGTGGAAAGTACTTCTTGATTCAGTGTTTGTTGGTAATGAAAACGATCTCTCACTTGAATTCTGAACTTCATCATCAGTCCAAGGAAGAGAACAATTGCAGTTTGTCTTCTTTGTGGTTGTGCAATAGAATGAAGATTTCCATGAATTATGCAGCAAACTTTTGAGATTGGGAAGCTTTTTCTGGCTTCATGAATCAGATGATCATATAATGACTTCATAGAAAAACTGCCTGATTTTTCCAAAATCCACCTCCTTTTATCTCTTCGATCCCTGTTTACGTTGCTATTGCAGACTGAAGCCAACAGGTCAGTAAGGGATGTAATCTCTCAGTCATTTAGCCTTCTCCTAATGTGTGGGGTCCAAACAGTAGAGCCATTCAGAACCTCGTAGTTCTCTGAAACAGTGGATTCTTTATTTGAGGCGATTGCATAAAGGAGAGGGAAAACCTCCTTAAATGGGCTTGTTGCTGCCCAAATCTCATCCTAAAAGCCAACCTAACACCATCCCCCACCTCAAAATTTACCCCTTTTATAAAGCGATCATACGAATTTTCAATTCTATTCCACAAAGCAGACCATAGGAGCTGGTGACCGAACCTGCACGGCCATAGGAGCATTTGTGTGTATATGTTGGCGGGTATGGCTTGGTAACTCAGTGAAGTCTGTAATGTAACCAGAAACTAACTTGCCCCAAATCCCCTTCCTTTCTTTCCCAACTGATACACACACAGTAAAAACACCCAAAAAGGGGGGAAATCTTAGAGTAAGGGTAAGGGAAAAACTCTTTATCATGCTATATAAACTGTATACTTACAAAAGATATCTAAAGGGGAATTGATAATTATTTTATGTAGGATCATCAATTAAGGCTATGTTTAGTTGAAATTCTACTCCAAAGAATCATTACTTGAATAATGAGTTTTGGGTTGCACAGCTACTTGCTGGTTTTGTAAGTTTTACTGTTTTCTTTATTGCATATTGAGCATGATACTTAACATTTTATGCCCCTTTATTTCAGTTTTGGATCGCATGTTTAATGTTTTACACTTTCAGCTTGCTAACATGTGTTTTCTTCTGATTTTCTCCTATTTGCCTTCTCAAAGAACCATTCTACCTAAAAGCTTAAGTTGTTAGGTGAGGTCCTTTAATAGGTTGATATTCTCTAACATGCTCCCTCACACGAAAGTCCATTGGGCTTGAAGTGTGAACAAGCACAGGCCCACCCATACTTTGTGCTGAAACTTAATTAATTATAATGGGGGTAATGAAGATTGAACACTAAGACCACTTGGTGAAAGTGGCTCTGATACCATCTCAAAGAACCATTGCTTAAGCTGTTAGGTGAGGTCCTTGAATAGGTTGATATTTTCTAACATTCCTTACTCTTTGTAGCTTGACAGGGTGAGAAAATATCTCATTACAACTTGTGAGCACCAAGCTCATTTCCAAATTATCTATATATGTGAAGCCAAGTAGATTGGAATATTTATTGAGCTGCCAAGACAAACCTAGAATAAACTGAATGAGGTACTGAACTTTCTTTTGCAAGAATAGTGTGTTTTGATCAAATCAAGCTCCAGTGGTAGTCAACCTTAACTTTAGGGAGAACCATAATTTCTTGATAATATGCATAATGTGGAACCGTAACTTTGGTTTCATACCTGGACCTACCCTAGATCGAATAGGTACTGATCTGTTCACTATCTGCTTTACTTATTAAGTTTGGTATTAAAACAGTCAGTTCTACATCATGGGACCTTTCCCAATGCAAATTGGGGCTTCAATTAAAATTCAAGCAATCAAATTCAAACTCTTGAATTAAAATAACATGCATTTTAGTTGAGTTCATCTTTTTCTCTATTTAACTTTTTTACTTGTGGCAATTTCTGAAATAAGGCTCTTTTGGTAATTTGAGCATTGGAAGCTTAAATAATATGATCCTGTTTTTATGTTTTAAGTTACGACATGGACTGAATAAACAGGAAATTACCCTCTTAATACTCATTTTTCTGAATATTTTATTCTTAAAACTTATTTTCTGTTCACATGTACAACACCAACGGCTGCCAGCTCCAAGAGATATTTCAGGCTAGCCGACATACCAACATAATACTTCTCATGTGTAATAACAGAAGATTCCTAAAAAGATGAAGAGGGCAAATGGGCTTAGAAACAAAATTCAAATGAGAGATCTGAAGAGAAAATAATTCAAATTGTAACAATGGTCACCATGAAGTCCTACATTTGCCATGTGAAATTGAAATGAAATTCCAATACCAAACATACTTATTTTGCTTTTACTTAATTTCTTAATTTTGCAAGAGTAGAAGAGGTCTCTCCAAGTGAGACTTAAGAGAGGGAGGGTGGGAGAGAGGAGGGGGAGGGGGAGAGATGTCCTTGGTTCATAGTTCTCTTGGATTGTATACATTCTCAAGGTTTTTTGTTTAGCTAAGGCTGCAACTTGGGTCGGGTTGGCCCGAACCCAATCCTAACCCAACCCGAAAAAGTTGGGTCGGGTCGGGTTGATGCTCAGGTTTGGGTTTGGGTTAGGGTTGACTAAGGGGTCAACCCTAACCCAACCCGAACTCGATTCTATAGTACATGTCATATATAAATATATGTTATATATAACATACATTGATTTGTTTAGATGCATGATATTTGTATAGTCCTCACCACATAGTATCATGTATTTCTTTTAAGATAATCACTTCACTTAATCCTAATCAGAAAGACTAAAACCTTGATAACATTATTTTATGTTTTTTGAAAATTTTATTCTTCATCTCCTCTATGTTATTTGCCGCCCAAGCAAGATCTATTGTAAGTCATAACTCATAATAAAGTATTTCTGAATTTTGTACTAAAAGAACAAAAAAATAACGTCAACAAACAAATACTAATGAAACATAGGATTAATATATGTAGTGAAAGTTGAGTTAAGATCTAAAATCGAAAAATTCTATGCGGTTTTAAAGGATGGGAAGAAAGTTGGGTTGGGTCGGGTTAGGGTTGAAGGAATTTAGTTAGGGTTAGGGTTAGGGTTGGGTTGGTCGGGTTGAAGGTTGGGTCGGGTTGAAGGTTGGGTTGAGGTTTATAACTTAGGGTTGGGCTAGGGTTGGCCTCAACCCGACCTAACCCGGCCCGACTTGCAGCCCTACGTTTAGCACCATCCATTATCTCTTATCCTTTCTCCCCTAACATTTATGCTTTTAAATGATTAATGAATGTCTGAACCTTTATTGGCATGTTATATAGAATAATATAATGTTGATATCGTATGTTTATCTTAGCTACTGGATGCTTATATTATCAATCCGCTTCTTTTGGGTATATTGTAATTTTATGCAGAATATTTGGATTAGCTCATGCAGGGAATGGGCCCATGAAGTGAGCTTTCTCCAAGTGAGACTTAGGAGAGGGAGAGGGCGGGAGGGGGGGAGGGAAATTTGATATGCATATTGATTTGGTGAAGGTTTTAGCACTGTTTAGATGCCATCAACAGTTCGGGCCTTCTTTTTCAACCTTTCTCTCAATTTTGGATTTTGGTTGGATCAAAATTAAAATCTTTATTATTTATTTCACTAGAAGATTTGGATTAAGTATTAGACTTGATGACAATAAAAGCAGGCCATTTCCCAAAGCTGGTCCCCAGCTATCCATGGTCTTGGGAGGGTTGGACTTCATATGGACTATGTTGCCAAGACAGTGTACAGAGGACCATACTTGTTATTTTCAATACAATTTACTATACTTTTACCTTTCTAAAAAGTAGAGTTGATTTTGAGTGGACTTAAAAACATCAATAGATTATTTTTTTTTTCACTAAACTATAATTTTCCTTTCTTAAATACTCTCTCTAGCTAATATTGCTTTGCTGCCAGGTTAAAACTCTATATAGAAACAACAGGTGAAGCCATTAACAACAGCTATTGCCTTTGTTGAAGATTTTTTTATATATAACAATATTTAAAGGTGGTCAAAACCAGCCATATAACTTGCTGCCGGTTAAAATAACAAGGTCCCTGAACTTGTTCTAGGCTAATGAACCTAATTGCTTTCTATGTCATGCTAAGTATCTACGTTATGAATGTAATTTGGTATACTCAAGACAGAATGAAACAATTAGACTCAACTTTTGAAACTCAACAACTAATTGAGCCTTACACTTGACTTATAGAGTTATAGTTCAAGCCAATCTGTTACTTTATTTAACAAGCCAAGTACTTCGAATTGCATTTTATTAATGAGACGATTGGACTCAACTTTTGAAACTCAGCAACTAATTGACCCTTACACTTTGAACTTCATTTTATATAACCAACCAAATACTTTGAATTGTATGTTATTCTATTTTGCCTCTATGAAGCAGGGCGTCCTCAGCCGACGAGATCGGATTCTATCAGGTCAAAGCTGTGCTCACACCGTTCTAACGGCCATTTTCACCCTTGCGGGAATATCTCCTCATAAAATAAAGCATACGGGCATGGAGATATTCTCAATGCAAGGCAATAAAGGGTGCTCGAACCGGCTTTTCCCTGTCAGTTTCTGTCAGGACAACTTGGTGCTCGCACTGTTCGAGCAGCCCTTGCAACCTTGCATTGGAAATATCTCCCATGAAATAAATCAGACAAGTATGAAGATATTCCCAACGTATGACTGTAAAGGTTGTTGGAACGGGCTTTGCCCTGACCGAAGTCGGACTCTCCTCAGCCAGTTATGCTATAAGATGCTTCGCATTTTCTTTTCTGAGCTTTCGAGCTTCTCATATTGTCTAATTATTTGATTTTTCTGACGCAGTTGAAGCTTTTAACTATTTCTGATACAAAGTCCCATGTATGGAGTGTACAACCAAAGGTTGCTTGCAAAGTAGATAGATGACTTGACTAGTCAATTGGATTCCCTACCTGGGGGTGGTATTAAATCTGTATTGCATACATCATACATCATCTCCCAAATTCCCTGTGGTAAGATAGATTTGATTAAAACTTTTTTTCTGCCATGAGACATTCTCTTATGGCTTTGGTGGGATCAGGTTGGTTAGGTTTGTTAAATGCCTTAATCC